AAAACACTTTTCAAAATATTCTAAGTCATTTTAATCGATTATATCAATTCTATATCGGTTAAAATACGCGTGAAGGTTTTCAAAAATCCTTCTAATGAAAAAAATCGATTATTTCAAAAACATATCGGTTAAAAACCTGTTACAAAAGTGTTAAGAACATTTTAGTTGATAAATCTTGTATACTATTAGTTAAAATAGTTAATTAAAAAACTTTTATCAAAATACTTTGTTTTTAACCGTTTAATCGCTTTTTAGAGGCATTTTTCAAAATCTTTTAAATGAAGAAACCTCATGCAGTAGAGAGATAAAAATGATTATACCTAAGCAGAGATGTAGACTCACTAATCCCACTACTCTTTTATCTAAGTGACCTTTGACTGCCACAAAGTAGCCTTTGACTTCATTTTTGACTTCATCAAATCAACAAAATCTTTGCCAAAGTAATTCAATAAGATCTTCATCACTTTCAATCATCACTTTTCTTGTTAGGACAATCGGATTTCACATGCCCTATTTCACCACAACCATAACATTTAAAACTTAAAGAAGAAATTTATTTTACCTTTCCCTTACCTTTGAAAGATTGCTTCCCTTTAGCTTTCATGAACTTTGAAAATTTTTTTATCATAAGACTTAAGTTTTCATCTTCTTCATTTTCAGAGTCTTCTTCCTCCTTCTTGTTCTTACTTTTTGAAATCTCGGTTTTGAAGGCAATGTTTCTTTTGACATTTTGGCCTTCTTCATCATTTAGCCTTCCAAGTTCTAGTTCATGTTCTCTTAACTTTCCAAAGAGAGTCGTCATAGTCATGGTAGCAAGATTTTGTGACTCCGTGATAGAAGTCACCTTTGGTTGTCATTTCTTGTCTAAAGATTTAAGAATTTTCACATTTAATTCTTAGTATAAAAAATCTTACCTAACCTAGTGAGATGGTTGACAATATGAGTAAAACTCTTTTGAACGTCAAATATTGTTTCTCCTTATTGCATTCGGAACATCTCATATTCTTGAATAAATGAGTTCTTCCTTGCTCTTTTAACATCATCGGTACCTTCATGGGTTACTCTTAACATTTCTCACATTTCTTGAGCACTCTTGCAAACTAAAATTCTATAAAATTCATCATATTGAGATTTTCTGTTTTCTTCTGCAGTTCATCTAGAAAATGGTTAAGGTACCTCTTCTCCATTTTCAGTAATTTTTTGAATAAAAGGACCATTTAATTAGCATCCCAAATACCCCTGTCAACATACTCCAAAAATATGTGCATTCTAACTTTCCAAAAAGGATAATTTTGTCCCGCAAAAAGGGGGGGGTCTGTTGATAGAAGCACCTTCACTAAAGGTTTGGTTTTGTCCGGCCATTTTCAAAAATTTGAATGACTATAAAAGCAAGCTCTGATACCACTTGTTAGAATCGCGCAGTAGAATGTTCGCGTATAGGGAAAAAAACCCAAGAGGGGGGGGGGGGTGAATTGGTTTCTTATAAAAAATTAAGGTTTTGAAAATTTTCCCCAAATTTCACCGATTAAAATGCTTGTAAAGTAAAGAGATAAAGGATAAGAAGATTACACAAGTGTTTTATACTGGTTCGGATCAAAAGACCCTACGTCCAGTTGTTAATCACTCTAAAAGAGGATTAACGTTGTCACTATAATCACAGTTTACAACAGATTACGAATTGAAAAAGATAAGGATTAGAAAACTCCTCTCTTGAGTCACACAAGAGATGAACACCTCCTTTGAATCCACAAAGGATGAACAACAGTTTTTCCTAGAGACGGCACAACACACAATCCACCAAGAAACTCACTCAGTGATTCTTATCGCTTCTAGCCCATACTAGGTTTTCAAAAGCCCATTTTTCTTCCATACAGAAAGTTCTCAAGTAATCACATCTCTTAACTTTTGTATGAAAAATGTTTGTTGTTTTGCAGAGAGCCTTAGAGAACTTTAAGTAGAGAGAATAAGGTCTGTGAAATAAAGGTTTTCGAAACTTGAAGTATTGGGAAAAGAGTTTTCATAAATTGGTCCAAATTTAAAATTCAAAACTCATAACAGACGTAGATAATCGATTATCTTAAGTGATAATCGATTATTATAGAGTCATTTTCGCAGAGGAGTAAAACAGGACCAGGATAATCAATTATCTGGCTTGATAATCAATTATTTTAGTTGGGATAATCGATTATCAACCCAGATAATCGATTATTCTAGCAAGATATTTACAAAACATATTTCAATGCAGGATAATTGATTATCCTAAGTGATAATCGATTATCACAAAGTGGTTTTGATAAAAATGAACTTTCAAAGGATGTACTATGTGTTGATTATCTTGGACTCTACTTTTACAGACTCAAAAAGACAAAACAGAGTTATTACAAGTAAATACAAATGATTATAAGTTTTCAAGTTTTTAAGTCTTTTGTTATTGAATCATCATCAAAATCTTCAAGCATCATATCCTTGTATGTTCAACAATATTTCAATTGTACGCCGAATATCTCAAACTTATAGTGAAATTAAACATTTTCATAAATATGAAAGAGTGACACCGTTAATTATACGTGTTAAACATGTAGTTTATAAACCGATGAAATATTAGTTAATTTTTTTTTTTCTTCTAATATGGATTTTTTTTTTCAATACATAAACTTTCAAAATCCCTTTTAAGTATGTATTTGTATAGACTCATGGCTTCAAATGGGTAAATTGAGGTGTAAAAATTTGCGGTCCGAAATACTTAAAATATATGATATTAAATTAAAAATTTATAATCTAAATTCAATCTTTCTCGATTCAACAAGTCCATCGGATTAATGATCCGATTGAAAAGTAAATAAAAATTATTATAAGTTTTATGATAAATTAATTCAAAAATTTTAAAAATAATTTTCAATAAAAATTAAAAATACATTAAATTTTAAATTATATTAATGAAATTGATTTTTATTTTAAATATAATAATTTAATATATAAATTATAAAATAAAAAGTTATTTACTTAAGAAATAAGAATTAAATAATTATTTTTCATTTTAGTAATTATATTTTTAGTAATATAATTATCTAAAATATTATTTTTTAAATCTTAAGATAACATGAATAAATAAGTTTTAAAGAATTAATCTTATTCTATTTTTAAAATAAATGAAATATATATTATATATATAATATTATTTATTTTAAGATAATTATTTTATAAAATATATTGACCCATAATTTTATCTTAGTATCAAAATTAATTCATTTCAATTTAAATTATTTTTTTTATTCTCTTGTAATTTTTGAACTGACATGCTTGTAACTAATGAATTAATTTTATAGTTTCTTCATTTTTATAAAATAATAATAATTTTTTATATAAAATAAAAATAATATTATTTTATTATAATAATAATAATAATTTATATAAGTTATTATATTTAAAAAATAAATAAGACTTAAATTAGACCGTGAATATTATACTAAACCCACTCTAGACAACATATGATAAGAGTTCTCAAATTGTTATGTACAGGTAAAACCCTAAATTTATTTAATACGTATTCATGTTTCAGTTTTCAAAATTATTCTATTTTAATAAAAAAAAACGAATTTGTAGTTAAAGTTATTTAAAGATTAATATTAATTATATATTTAATAACTACACATATCAAGAGTGAGAATTAAGTCAAAAGAATCCGTTACTAATTTAATCCATGTGGTTATATGTCGTTATACTTGACTCATCAATTAACCAATTCATCTATTCAATCAAATAACGTAATTATTTTTTCTCTTAAAAGTGTTTTGATTTGATGAAGTTGGATGGAATCGAAAATGAGAAGATGATGGTTGAGAGGTGCATTGGAGGGAGGAAATTGACTGGAAACGAAACCACACAAAAGCTTAAGTTAAATACACTTCAACAATTTATTATCTATTCAATGTGATAGTTATAAAGAGGTAAATATTTACCCGCATATCCAAATGGAGTTTTTAAGTTTAATAATAAAATTAAATATTTTATTATAGGTTCAACATTTAAATTGCTAAAAATATGATTAAAAGTTGTTTATCTAATTAATTTTCTTCCAAGTAACTTTTTTTATTTTTAAATAACTCATACACGTGAGACTCATAATAAAATATTTATTTTTATTCTTGAGCTTTGGGTAACTACTGCTTTTGGAAATGTTGAGTATAATTAGTAAAAATGTAATTAATGTAATCTTTTAACTTTGTGCACATCATATATTTAGAAACAATTTTTTCTATTATCTTAATATTTTGTCCAACCAAAATACTCTTAAACAATTTATTATCTCTTCTATTTATAATAAATATAATTAAAAACTAAGAATATAATTAATAAAAAAAATTATGAAATAATCTTAAACTTTATAAATATCATAAATAAATTTTTCTAACCATAGAATATTTTGAAAGATAAAAAGTATTTGTCACGGTTTTAAAAAATAAGTTCACTTCTAACCATCTTAATTATGTTTTATTAAATAAATTATTTTATTTATGATTAATAAATGCGATTTAAGAAATATAATAAAAAAGTAATATGTTTATTTTTGATACAATTAAGAACATTTATTATAGTCTCTTGATGATATTTGCCCATACATGAAAATGAAAATATGGTGGTGCTAGATAGAAAAGAGGGATTTATATATTTGGAACGTGTACTGTGCTAGTAGTTCACATGTTAGACAGGTAATGAGTTGCAGAAAGTGGCGAGTAGTCGTGTAACTCGTTCGCATTCGGCGACAGCGAGAATCCTGACCTTATCAATAGTCTTTTTTAGCTTGGAAATCCTAAACTGACAGTGACTTTTTCGTACTCTAATCATCTACCATTCCTATGTAGGAATCAGTGGATCACAGCAAACGATAAGAACAGCGAAAAAGATCACTGAAATCCTTTCCCGGATAACTCTTCCACCACCATTATATCTAAAGAAGAGTCCCTTTAATAAAATCAATTCAAAGTTTCTTGCTTTAGTCCATGGAGAACATTACTGGGTTGTGTGTGTTATGGGTTATACTCTTGTTGGGGTGTGTACTTTCCTCTGAATCTAAGTATATAAGGTATAACACAACGTCAACCATTGTCCCTGGCAAGCTCAACGTTCACTTGGTCCCTCACACTCATGACGATGTTGGCTGGTTGAAGACTATTGACCAGTATTATGTTGGTTCCAATAACTCAATTCAGGTCATTGTAAATCTCACTCCTGAACATACATGCTGTCTCTCAGTTACATTCAATGTTTTTCTCACGTGTGGTTTGTTTTTCATTATTGGGCAGGGAGCGTGCGTTCAAAACGTTCTCGATTCCCTGGTACCCGCATTGTTGGCTGACAAGAATCGCAAGTTCATTTATGTTGAACAGGCAAGTGTTGGATATCCCAGTTAGATTAGTGATATGATCAAAACAGTGTTTATAAGTGGTGTCAGTCCTTACATGATAGCATTTGAAGTTGAATTAGTTCTTTATAAGTTGTTGTTCTTTGCCTGTATTGTATTACAGGCATTTTTCCAGCGATGGTGGAGCGAACAAAGTGATGCCATCCAGAACATAGTCAAGGAGCTCGTCAAATCTGGTCAATTGGAGTTCATGTATTCTCCTATCTTATCTTCTATCTGACTAAGGGTGTGTGCGGCTCAGTTTGTAGAAAGTGTGGATTTCAAAAATTCACAACCAGTCTACTTTTCCACCTTCACACTTTCTACCTACTCAATGAAGTTCATTTTTTTTTTCTTCATTGGCAGTCAGTGAAAATTAATGATGATGAATGTTCCTCTGCTTTAATGTATTAATAGCATTCAGTTTCAATTGCATTACGTTAAGTGCTAAGATTGTGGTTGCAGAAATGGAGGATTTTGTATGCATGATGAGGCTACTGCTCATTATATTGACATGATTGATCAGACAACTCTTGGACATCAATTTCTCAAAGAAGAATTTGGAGTGACTCCGAGAATAGGGTGGCAGATTGATCCATTTGGACATTCTTCTGTGCAGGCTTACTTGTTGGGGGCAGAGGTAACATTTTGCTGAAGTATATGCAGAATTCGTTGAGGGGGGAAAATGACATCGAAGTAGATTCACAAACAGTTTTTTTTTTTTTCCTGTACATTGCCACTAGTTGTTTCTTAAGCTGTTAAGGGTAACCCTTCTTGGCATAGGTTGGATTCGACTCTCTATTCTTTGCACGGATTGACTATCAAGACAGAGCTAAGAGAAAAGGTGAAAAAACTCTTGAAGTTGTGTGGCGGGGCTCTAAGAGCCTTGGTTCATCATCGCAGGTGAGTAGTCCAAAGCGGTTTTTGTTTATAACTTTATTGATTCTGCACAGGGCAACAACAACAAAAACCATGGTTTTCTTCTGTTGGATTCACTTCATCCTCCCCAGTAGCATTTTTACCAACGGATCCTTAAAATTTTCATGGATACAGATATTTTCTGGAGCGTTCCCTGAGAATTATGAACCTCCCAGTAATTTCTACTATGAAGTAAATGACAATTCTCCAATCGTTCAGGTAAAATCAAAGTCAAATATTGCTGTAGGCCAATTGCCCATTTTTTAAGAAGTGTGCTAAGTAAACTGTTATTTTCCTTTGAAGGATGATGTCAATTTATTTGATTACAATGTCCCTCAAAGAGTAAATGAGTTTGTGGCAGCCGCAATATCACAGGTATGAAATCAATCCTAAGAACAGTTTCTTCTCTCTGCTATTTGCTTTCTTGTTTAAGATGAACTTTTAAGAATGTTTACTGTGAAGAGTTGATGTGCCTGAAATTATGAGAAATGAAAACACAAATGATCCAAATGAAAAATGATTTAGAGCTTGTCAGTTGAAATTAAACTGATTTGAATGAAAAAACTCTACTGGCTGTGCTGTTTCAGGCCAATATTACGCGCACAAATCATATAATGTGGACAATGGGGACAGATTTCAAGTACCAATATGCGCAGAGCTGGTTTCGGCAAATGGATAAGTTTATTCACTACGTTAATCAAGTTACTCATCATCAAATCCATGCTTAATTGACAATTTTCTTTTCTGTTTACTTAATTATTGCATTTTATATGATTCATTATGCTCCCTAATTTTCCATACTCCATCTGCTCATGAATTTAAATCAAGCTAAGCTTATTTGTTCTAGTGGTTTGACATATTAATGGGAGAACTGGCTAATGCTTATTCAGGATGGTCGGGTTCATGCCCTATACTCAACCCCATCCATATACACTGATGCCAAACATGCTGCAAATGAGGCCTGGCCAATCAAGACTGATGACTACTTTCCGTGAGTTCCAAAATCCTAAACATACAGTATATAACTCAAAAACAATGTTCAGGAAGAAGCTGCAAATTGTAACTTAATCCTACAACATGATTTTGAAAATAACATTTGGGTGGCTGCACTGCCTACCCAAAAAAATCGTTTCTTGTTTAGTTGCACATTAGCATACCTTTCGTTCTTCTAACTTGTGATTTTGTTAGTATTATAGGAAGGATAGGAAAGATAGTTTGATGTTTAGTAGTGAGATTTGTGTAGAAAATAGTTTTTAGAAAGAGGTGGACAAATAGGAGAAGGTTTGTATGAGGGAAGATAGTAATTGATGTTAGAAGTGTTACAAGATATGTAGGAGCTTGTATTAGATTTTCCACGCATACAAAGACTCCCTTCATGCATATTTATAGACTTTACTTACAAGATTCTAGAATTTTCTACTAATTTCATTGTTTCTACACTATTCTATTTCTACACATTTCTTCTTCTTTTTCTTTTTCTAGAATCATGTTGTAGGTTCTACTAGTACACATGTTTTCTACATAATTCTAGAAGTTTTACATAATTCTAGATTTTCTTAATTCTAGAATTATTTATCTTCTACTTTCAAACATTTCTAGAATCTTCTAAGAATTCTAGATATTACTCATATGTAATTCTTAATTCTAGTAACATCTAAGATTTTATATTCTAGATCTTTCTAGAATTTGTATCATCTTTCAACACTCCTCCTTGATGCAAATTCTTATAACTCCAAGCATGAAACGTAATTGTTCAAACTTAGCTCTTGGTAGTGCCTTGGTAAATATGTCTGTCATTTGATCTTCTGTAGTGCAGTACTCAAGTTGAATTTGTTTAGTCGTTTCAGCCTCTCTGATGAAGTGATATTTAATAGCTATATGTTTTGTTCTTTGATGATGAACAGGATTCTTCGTCATTGTTATTGCTGATTTGTTGTCGCAATAGATAGTAGTTGGTCCATCTTGTGGTTGGCCCATTTCTTCAAGTATTCTTCGTAGCCATATTGCTTGACTTGTAGTTTCAGCAGCAGCTACGTATTCTGCTTCAGCTGTTGATTGTGCCACAGTTGCTTACTTCTTTGATGCCCATGAGAAAAAACCCAATCCAAGTGAGAAGGCGTATCCTGGCGTACTCTTCATGTCGTCTATTGATCCTGCCCAATCACTGTCGGTGTAGCAAATCATCCTTGAGTTGGTCATGGTCTTGTACCATATACCAAACTCTCTTGTGCCTTGCAGATACCTTAAAATCCTTTTTCATGCTCCATAGTGAATCTGACTTGGCTTTTGCATGAATCTTGACAGAAGACTTGTAGCATACATAATGTCTGGTCGTGTAGCTGTGAGATATAGAAGGCTTCCGATCAAACTCCTGTATCGTGATACATCTACTTCTGGTGCTCCATCATCTTTCTTTAGCTTTTCGTTTACCACCAAAGGAGTAGTGACAGGTTTACATCCGTACATCTTGAATCTCTTTAGTAGAGCTTCAGTATATTTCTTCTGAGAGATAAATATTCCTTCTTTTTGTTGTATCACCTCTATCCCGAGGAAGTAATTCATCAAGCCAAGATCAGTCATTTCGAATGTTTTCATCATATCTTCTTTGAATTCTTTCACCATTTCCTTATTGTTTCCTGTATAGATGAGATCATCAACATATAAGGAGACAATGAGATTATACTGACCTTGTGTCTTGATATAAAGTGTTGGCTCACTCTTGCTCTTCCTAAATCCTTGATCGATAAAATATTTATCAATCTTACTATACCATGCTCAAGGAGCTTGCTTCAGGCCATATAGAGCTTTTCTTAGTCTTAGTACTTTTCCTTCGTGGCCTTTGTTGATGAAGCCTTGTGGTTGCTCAACATAGATCTCTTCTTCAAGTGTTCCATTGAGAAAGGCGGATTTGACATCCAGTTGATGGATGTTCCAACTTTTTTGTGCAGCAAGGGCTATTAGAGCTCTAATTGTATCCAGACGAGCAATTGGAGTAAAAGTCTCATTGTAGTCGATCCCAGGTTGTTGTGAGTATCCTTTTGCGACCAATCTTGCCTTATATTTTTGTATGGTTCCATCAGGGTTGAGCTTAGTTTTATATATCCATTTTACTCCAATGATATCTTTTCCGTGAGGACAGTCCACAAGTTCCCAAGTATTATTTTTCTCAATCATTTTGATTTCTTCTTCCATTGCCTTGACCCATACTTCTTGCTTTGAAGCTTCTTCATAGCAGGAAGGCTCAATGATGGCCATGTTACAAGTTTCATATATATCTACCAAAGATCTTACACGTCTTGGTGTAGACTCTAGTGAAGTATATTCTTCTTCTTCTTGTGGAGGTGGAGAAAGCATACTTGGATCTCCTGTTTCTTCTTCAAGTTGTTGTACTGGAACCAGGATGTTGCTTCTAACAACTTTTTCTTCTTCCCAATTCCAAAAAGCATTTTCGTCAACCTCAACATCTCAACTGATGACGAGTTTCTTTGTTTGTAGGTTGTAGACTCGATAGCCTTTTGATTGTTGGCTGTATCCCAAGAATATTCCTCTTATAGTTTTGTCTTCAAGCTTATGCCTCCTCTGATCAGGAACATGTATGTAGCAAATTGATCCAAATATTCGTAGGTGTTTAGTTGATGGCTTTCTTCCACTTCAAGATTCAATAGGAGTCTTGTTTTGGACTACCTTAGTTGGACATCTATTGAGTATATATATACAGCAGTGTAAACTGCTTCTGCCCAAAATGTATTTGGCAAGCCTTTCTCCTTCAACATTGATCTTACCATCTCCATGACAGTGCGATTTTTTCTCTCCGAGACACCATTCTGTTGTGGAGAATATGCGACTGTAAGTTGTCGCTCAATACCTTCATCCTCACAGAATTTATCAAATTCGTGGGAGGTGTACTCTTTGCCTCGATCGCTCCTGAGAACCTTTATCTGTTTTTCGCTTTGCTTTTCGACAAGGGCCTTAAATTTCTTGAATATTCTAGAGACTTCTGATTTTGCTTTGATGGAGTAGACCCAAGTCATTCTAGAAAAATCATCAATGAAGAGAATGAAGTACCTGTTGTTATTAAGCGATGGAGTCCTCATTGGTCCGCAAATATCTGTGTGGATTAACTCCAACAAGTCTTTTGCTCTCCAAGTATTTCCCGTAGAAAATGGTAATTTGTGTTGCTTTCCCAGAAGACATCCTTCACAAGCTTCACTACTCTCCTTAAGGCTTGGAAGATCTCTCATCATGCCTTTTTGATGTAGTAGCTTTAAGGCATGAGTATTGAAGTGGCCAAATCTACGATGCCATAGCCACGAGTCATCAACTTCTACTTTCCTGGCAATGTTAGTTCCTCGATTGAAGCTTATAAGAAAACTTCTATTTCTCTTTTCCATTTTTACTTGGTCAATCTCTAGATTTTTCTTATCATAGATAGTGCATGTATCTCTTTCAAAGTGGAGAGTATATCCTTTCTCCATCATTTGACCAATACTTAAGAGATTTTCTTTAAGATTGAGAACTAGTAAGACATCATTGATAAGTCTCATACCTTTCTTGGTCTCCACCATAACACTACCTTTTCCTTTTGATTCTACCATGGTGCCATTTCCCAATCGTACTTGAACTTTGATGGAGTTATCAATTTCTTTGAAGATGCTTGGATCATTCGCCATATGGTTACTACACCCGCTGTCCAAGTACCATCTTCCTTTTGATTCATTGTCAGAACATCCCGTAGCATAGAAGAGATGTTGTTCTCTGTCCCGTTCTTCGGCAAAATTTTCTTGTTGATGATTTTTGTTGCTACACATTTTCTTTAGATGTCCAAATTTCTTACAGTATTGACATTGAGGTTTTCCTCGATGCCAACAATCTTTTTCCAAGTGACTTGTCTTTTTGCAAGTTCCACATGGAGGATATTTTCCTTGAATAGTCTTGGAAAAATTTCTAGAATTTTCCTTATTCTTAGAAAGTTCTCTATTAATTTTATTTCCTCCATTTTGAGACCGTAATTTTAGTTTTGATTGAAAGGCATTTTCGACTGAGTCTTCTTCACGCCTTTTCAATCTTTGTTCATATGATTCAAGAGAGCCTATTAGTTGTGTCACCGATAATGTAGATAAATCTTTTGTTTGTTCAATTGCAGTTGCAATTGCATCATATTTTTGGGGAATAGAAATTAGAATTTTCTCAACAATTTTCTTGTCAAGAATATTTTCTCCATAGGCTCTCATCTGACTAACTATTTCTTTTATTCTAGAATAGTAGTCTTTTATGGTCTCAGATTCATTCATTTTTATTAACTCAAATTCTCTTCTTAGTGAATGAAGTTTAATATTGTGTACCTCATCACTTCCTTGAAACTCCTCCTGAATTGTATTCCAAGCTTCCTTTGCACTTGTGGCACCCATTATTCTTGGAAAAATAGTGTCATCAACTCGCTATCGAAGAGTGAATAATGCCCTTGAATCCTTTTGTTTGTTTTCCTTCGACTCCTTCCTCCGGGCAGCTGTAAGAGTTGAGATATCTTCTGGAATAGTGAACCCATCTTTAATGACGTCCCAAAGATCTTGAGAACAAAAAAATGTCCTCATTTTGACTCTCTAAAAATCATAATTTTCTCCCTTGAAAATAGGGACTGGAATGGATGATGTTTGGTTGGTAGTGGCCATAGGTTGGAATTTTCTTTTGGAAGTAATGTGTAGTGGGATTGGGTTTTTAAAGGTAGTCGAAAAATTTTCTCTACGCCCAGTAGGTGACCGAACGTAGCTCTGGTACCACTGTTAGTATTTTAGGAAGGATAGGAAAGATAGTTTGATGTTTAGTAGTGAGATTTGTGTAGAAAATAGTTTTTAGAAAGAGGTGGACAAATAGGAGAAGGTTTGTATGAGGGAAGATAGTAATTGATGTTAGAAGTGTTACAAGATATGTAGGAGCTTGTATTAGATTTTCCACGCATACAAAGACTCTCTTCATGCCTATTTATAGGCTTTACTTACAAGATTCTAGAATTTTCTACTAATTTCATTATTTCTACACTATTCTATTTCTACACATTTCTTCTTCTTTTTCTTTTTCTAGAATCATGTTGTAGTTTCTACTAGTACACATGTTTTCTACATAATTCTAGAAGTTTTACATAATTTTGGATTTTCTTAATTCTAAAATTATCTATCTTCTACTTTCAAACATTTCTAGAATCTTCTAAGGATTCTAGATATTACTCATATGTAATTCTTAATTCTAGTAACATCTAAGATTTTATATTTTAGATCTTTCTAGAATTTGTATCATCTTTCAACAAATTTAATTTCTGGATCATCAATTTATTAGGTATGCAGATCGTGTAAATGCATATTGGACGGGGTATTTTACAAGCAGGCCAGCCCTCAAAGGTTATGTCAGACTCTTAAGTGGATACTACTTGGTAAGGCTTCTAACTATTGTTAATCCAAGAAATTAAGTATTCTATTAAATTTGAGGTGCTCTAGTAGCAGCATTAAGGGATACTCTGAGCTCCTTTTTCTTCCTCTGAAAGTTGTGTAATCAAGAGCATTATAATTGAGTCAAGCTTGACATTATATTTTTGGAAAGTTATCAAAATTCTAAGCTGGTCTCTTGTTGCTCTTCAATCTTGAAACAGGCAGCAAGGCAGTTGGAATATTTCAAAGGGAAGAGTGCCTTAGGTCCAAAAACTGACTCTTTGGCTGAAGCTTTGGCTATTGCTCAACATCATGATGCATTAACTGGTACAGAAAAACAGCATGTTGCTGATGATTATGCTAAACGACTTTCAATAGGTTATACAGAGGTAATAATAATTGTCTATATCTGTTCTCTTTGAACTTTATTGTTTACAGTCTCAAAAATGGATTTTTCTTTTCAATGTCTTATTCAGGCTGAGAAAGTTGTTGCAGAATCGCTTGCTTGTTTGACAGAGGGAGCAAGCAAAACGGGATGTAAGAACCCACAGATTAAATTTCAACAGGCAAGTTGTGATGTTCTTTGTTCAACTACTGTGAGCTGTTGATGATTATGACAACATCTCAAGGCACATGGCTAATTTTTTCTAGTTTCTTTCTTGATATTCATTCTTTGTGTTGTGCACAACGGGAACTAATGCTGGTTCAGAAATTTACAATTCATAACCATCACAGCTTATTATGCTTTTACAAGATAAGAATTGTAGTTGGAGAGAAGAGTTGTGTTACTTATGAAACTACTGAAAACATATTACCATGTTTCAATTTTTGAGAAGCAATGTTTTGAAGACTTGATGCTGAGGCTTAGTTATCACTTTCAGTGTCCACTTCTGAACATAAGTTACTGTCCTGCATCAGAAGTCGACTTCTCCAATGGGAAAAATCTGGTAAGGATTGACGACAACTAATCTGCTGCTTATTAGAATGCAGAATTTTATCGATTAAGATTTTTCTAAAACATTGCTTCCTGTAGGTGGTTGTTGTTTACAATCCTCTCGGATGGAAAAGAGAGGATATCATAAGGATTCCTGTAAGTTTGCTCCCTCAACCATCCCACCTCTTGTTATTTTCATTGTTAAAAATTATGAATAATGAGAATAGTTATGAAAACATACATCTCACCTCAACTCTTTGACTATAATGTGAAAAGGATTAATGATTCGTTCTAATTTATATTTTAAAATAGATTATAATTTTTAATTTAATTAAATTTTATGTTAAATCAATTGGTTAATAGATTAATTTAATTTTTATTTGATTGAAAATTTTAAAAAATATTTAAATAAAAATAAAAGAATATATTTTTAAAATTTAAATTATATTAATTAAATTAATTTTTATTTAATAATTTAATATATAAATATAAGAAAAGATTTATTTAATCCTAAAATAATATTTAAATGCCTGTTTTTTATTATTTTTATTATTTTTTAATAATTTATTGATATAAAATAATAATTAATCTTAATTATTAATAAATAGTTGTAAAATATTTATTATAATATTTATTCTTAAAATGATTGAATTTTTTATCTAGTTAATTTATTATATATATATATATATATATATTTTTTTTAAATAATATTACTTTTATTTTATTTAAAAAATAATTATTGTTAATGAAATGGGTCGATCCATAATTTTGGCTTGACCTCAAATTATATATAAGTCATATTTTAAACGAATCGGTTTAATTAATTTACGCTAATTTTTTTTTACTTATTTAAACCTATTTTTCTTATATTTTATAACAGTATATTGGGTTAGGTACCGTTTAATTATATAAATATTATGTGCTACGTGAGAAGCATTTGTTCAATACTTTTAAGTACCAATTCATGCCTTCGAGGTGAAGCATTGTAATGCATTTTTTCTTGTCCAGTGGAATTATTTACCTCGCGAATCAACATGAATGAAGAATGTTTTGAACATAGGAAAAAAAATCATAGTGCAAGTACAAAATATGGCTATCCTCAAACACTCTCGCTTGACATGGTTTGCTTATCAAATTTGTCTTAGGTTGTCAATGAAAACGTTGTTGTTCTGGATTCCAGTGGGAAGAAAGTCCAATCCCAGCTGGTGCCAATACTCGATGATTTTCTTGGTTCAAGAAACTACCACACTATGGCATACTTGGGGGTGTCTCCAATTGTGAAACCAAATTACTGGCTTGCTTTTTCAGCAAATGTTCCCCCACTTGGATTTAGCACTTACTATGTATCCTACGCCAAAAATGAAGGTCAGTCTTAATTTGTTATTCCCCTCCTGAAAATTGTGCTATCATTATTGCAAATACAAGACCAAAAATAAATTTCTGTGGGAGAGTATAGTTTAGTTTTTCCTAAAGCAGAAAATTTGCAATTGCATTGCAGCTACTATTTCAGATAGAGAAGTAGCTGGCAAGTCAGGGAATAAGAGTGATACAATTACAGTAGGTCTAGAAAACTTGAAACTAACTTATTCTGTGAAGGAAGAGAAACTTACTCGATATTTCAACAGCAGAAGCAAGGTTTGTGATTTAGATGGCACATTACCAACATATAGCCAAAATCTTTACAATATTCTATAAGTTTTACATTACATGCATGCATTCTAAACTTCTGTTTCACAACAAAGGTCGAAGAATCTCTAGATCAGGCATATAAATTTTACATCGGCAATGGACATGATGGAACTCTAACTGCTCAGGTGAAAACTTTTTTTCAATACGTAGATTTGAATTGATCATTCTTTCTCTAATATGATTGATTATGATTTAAATGTTGTGAACTGTTGAAAGGCATCTGGAGCATATATTTTTAGACCAAATGGTTCACCATCTCCAATCACTCCCAACGGGAAGGTGAATCTATCTATTTAAACATTTACGTTCAATTAGCAATATTTAGTGGTTGCAAGAAATTAACCAGTTCGTGTTCATTTGAAAACTTTCAGTCTCCTCTCACAGTTTTTCGCGGACCAATTGTGCATGAAGTGCATCAGCAGATCAATTCATGGATATACCAGGTAGTATATAACATTATTTTTTGAGAAGATCATTTTTCTTTTAATTTGTTATTTCTATTATCAAACAAGTTATCGATCTATTCTCTACAAACGCTATAAATATAATCGATATATCTAGTCCGTTTGAGAATCTGTAACCGCTAGTATATGCATTTTCGTAGGATCAACCAAATTTGAGTGCTAGATATTATTAAATGCATTTAAAAAAATAATTTAACTATTTTTCTTTATTCTTAATTTGAGTATATTGTTTAGATCTCTCTGAGTTTTAAACATATTTTCTAGGCTATTGTTAATAAATAAAATACTTATAATGTGGAGGACAGTTTTAAGATAATAAAAATTATTTTATATTTTGCAGGAAAAAATAATACTTTTTAATATATTTAAATTTGTACTATAATGCAACACACAGTTTATTCTATTTTTAATTTGGTCCAAAATTTGCACAAATTTCATGTCAATTTCACAATAGTTATAGAATTGATATTTTAAAGTAAAATATGCAAAGTAAGAAAATAAAGTGCAAAAGAAAGGCTAAAGATAAGAGATTGGTATATATACTTCAAAAGTAAGTGATGCTTTCTTTTTCTTTAAAGAAAGGATTAGTGAGTGCATGAAATATAAAGTTTATGTTCCACTTGTTAAAAATTATAAAGTTTAAATGCGACTAATTTATAATTTATTTTTGTTCTAATAATTTTTTAAACTATTTTTTTAATTTAACAATTTATATGGTATTTAATAAATAGTTTAATCCCATATGTTAATCTACAAATAGAATATATTTAGAATTCTGGATTAAAACAATATATGATGCATAGAATAAAAAAGTTTAGACTATTATATTTTTATAATTAAGTAAATAATTAAAAAAATAAAAATTACTTTTAATTCTTTTCAATTTAGTTTACATATTTGACCATTAAAAAGATTGTTTTTATTTAAAATAATACATAGTTTCCGAACGGAATAAAGTCATTAGAAAAATAAGTGATACTTAATAATTTGTTAAAATGTATATAAATTATAAATGTTCAATCAAATAACCATTGTCAATTTCTTGGCAGAATATAGTCTCCTTATAAAACAAAGCGTGAAAAGGCACGTGGGATAACTTGTCCACACATCACCCACTTATCGTATGTTTTATTTGGCAATTTCAAAGGAATCGCGTGACCTCACAAGAAATAAAAAGTTATACTTTCAGTCTCTCTTTTAGAAAAAAAAAAAAAATCTGGACTTTGCCACTTTCTTGATTCTTTCAAACATCAATGGTGTGGTATGAAAAATGTAACTAACATTTTTTTACACAGTAAAACTTATTAAAAATTATTTTTTTTATAAGTTTTATTTTCTTATTCAATAAATTTAATCAATAATAAAATTTATAATCATAAAGATTCATAGAGTTTAATATTTGACCATGGTTTAATTGAACAGACTACTAGACTGTACAAGGGCAAGGAACACGGTGAAGTTGAGTTTATTGTAAGTAATTTATTTTTCTCCAAATCTACTGAGTAGGGTTTTTATTCTCTAAGAGCCAACAATCATAATAAAGTTATCTTGACACCAGGTTGGACCTATACCCATTGATGATGGAGGCAAGGAAATTGCAACTGAGATTAAAACAAATCTGGCAAGCAACAAAACCTTCTATACTGATTCCAATGGACGCGATTTCATTGAACGTGTAAGTCAACGAGGTTAAGCATTTTTAAGTTCTAGTAATATCAATGCCTAACCTAATGATTGTTGAAAATTTATAATTCATAAAAATTTACATTTACAGGTTCGAGACTATAGAAAAGACTGGCACTTGGAAGTGAATGAACCTGTTGCTGGAAATTATTACCCTGTATGTTTTGTTGAACCATGTGTGTTATAGAAGATGATACATTTATTATACACATGAACACACAGTCCATGAAGTTGTTGATTAATGGAATCTACCTCATGTTTCAGATCAACCTTGGGATTTACCTGAAAGATAAAAGCAAAGAGTTTTCTATATTGGTAGATAGAGCTGTGGGGGGCTCTAGCATTATAGATGGGCAATTGGAACTAATGGTTCATAGGTTTGTTTTGTTGGTCAAGCTCAACCTCCTATACATATTCCATTCTCTACCAATCAAACTTCATGGTTTCCATTTTCTCCCCTTTGTATAGGAGGTTACTTGAGGATGATTCCAGAGGTGTTGACGAGGCACTGGATGAAACAGTTTGCATCCGAAATAACTGCACAGGGTTAACTGTAAGTAAATCTAAATAGCCTATAGTGTTTTAGGTGAGCCATTCTAAAGTAGTGTATAAAATATTAGTACAATCTTACTTCAGTAACTTTTATCTACTTGATATGTGTTTGATAAAACTAGCTTATAAGTTAGAGTGGTGAAAGCTTAATAGTTTTATGACTGTGTTTGGTAAGACATTTTAACCACTTACAAGCAGGTGCTAGGGAAATACTATTTCAGAATTGATCCTGTAGGAGAGGGTGCTAGATGGCGTCGATCATTTGGTCAGGAGATATACTCACCCTTGCTTTTAGCCTTCACACAGGTGGTTAAAGAATGGATGTCAGAAAATGTTTGAATATTGCATACTGAGCTGAACTGTACTCGGTACTCTACTGATGACTATTGTTCATTTTTCACATATTTTTTAGAGTGATGGTCACTGGGGAGATTCTCATGTCACAACCTTCTCGGGTATAGATTCCTCATACAACCTACCAGATAACGTTGCAATAATAACCCTCCAGGTGCATGTCTTTCATTTCACCATTTGTTCAAGATATGTTTTTTTGTTCACTTCTAATGCTAGGCCATGTTCTGGAACACTGCAGGATCTGGGTGATGGAAAAGTTCTCCTTCGTCTGGCACACTTATACGAGGTATATATATATTCTCTTCAGCTTCTATCTACATAGTTACATTATTATTACATCTTGAAGATTTTATCTTTCTTATATATATTCCCTTGTTCTCAAATTTTTGTGAGCCTTGTTTGTCAACACACTAAAACTCTTATTCTTTGTCAAATGCAAGATTGACGAAGACAAGAATCTCTCGGTTAAGGCAACAGTAGAACTGAAGAAGGTGTTTGCCCACAAACAGGTAGGAAAACATCACAACTAAAATCCTTCTGATTTTTTTAGCATGCCATGGTCTAAGGTGCTTCATGAGCAACAATTCCTTTTGTGTTCTCAGATAAAGAAAATAACTGAAGTGAGCTTATCAGCTAACCAAGGAAGAGCAGAAATGGAGGGGAAGAGATTGGTTTGGCAAGTTAAAGGGTCACCTCCAGAACCTAAGGTGGTGAGGGGAGGAGCAGTAAATCCAGAAAGTCTAATTGTAGAACTTGCTCTTATGGAAATTCGGACTTTTGTTATCAGTTTTAATTAGTCCACCAGGAGCTCTCTACTGAAAAATAACTAAATAAGAAATTGTATCAGAATACATATTTCCAACATCATGTAAGCCAGGAACAAGAAATATATATATATATATATATATATATATATATATATATATATATATATATATATATATATAATGTATGTGTGTTTAGGGTTTGTTTGGCTAAAGGTGCATGGACTCAAAGTTCATTGCCAATAAAAGTGAATTACTCCTATCCTTTTTCTCTTGGCATCTAACCAACACTACAAGAAAATATCATTTTAGCGATCGAAAAAATCGGTCGCTAATATCAAAAAATCGGTCGCTAATCAGTTAGCGACCGAAAGACGTCGTCGCAAAAAGCCAAGTCGTTAATGTGTTAACGACCGATTTTCATTTCGGTCACAAAATAGCAACCGAAATTAATATATCAAATTGGCCGCTAAATCGGTGACAAAGTTAAAAAAATAGCGACCGATTTAAATCGCTAAATTAATAATAAAGTTAATTATTTTTATTTACTTACATTTATTATTTATGTCTCCTACCTCTTTGTATATTATATTTTTTAAAAGTTTAACTTATTACTAATTAGATTTTATTATCATTGTCAAGATTCGAACCCGGTACCTTAGAGTTGGAGGCTGAAACTCCAACCATCGAGCTACTAGGATATTTTAATAATAACTTACAAATAAATTATATTTATATACAAATAAATTTATATCCGTATAAATATATAAATATAAAATCTATAAATAAAAATATATTTATATATTTAAATATTGATATATTTATACATTGATATATTTATATATTGATATATTTATATATTGATATATTTACATATTTATATATTTATATCTTTATATTTTTACATATATTTATATATTTCCATATTTATATATTTATATATAAAGATATTAGTTTTGTATACAAATAATATTATAATATAGTATATTATACTATTAGTATAGTATTTAAATAATATATTAGTATAGTATAGTATAGTATACAAATTATTAATTTTGTAATTTATATACAATGAAAATAATATAATGGTATATTAGTATAGTATAGTATATTTGTATTCTAATTTTTAATTAAACTAAAATTACGCTAAATGTATAATAATATATGAGGGGATAATAAATTTAATTCAATTACTTTTATAAATATATAAATATAAAATCTATAAAATATTAAAAATGATATTATATTTTTAGAAACAAATATTAGAAAAAGGTTTAAAAACATGTATAAATTATATTTATATGTCCAAAACATTAAAGATATCCACATTTAAAACAATATTAAAAAATATTAAAAGTTATACTTTAAATTAATGAAAATATTTTAAAGAAGTTATATTTATTAAAGTATTAAAAAATATTTTGTAATATATAAGTTAAAAAAATTATCATTAAAATTTTTTAAAATTATTAGTTTTGTAATTTATATACAATGAAAATAATATAATGGTATATTAGTATAATATAGTATATTTGTATTCTAATTTTTAATTAAACTAAAATTACGCTAATAATGTATAATAATATATGAGGGGATAATAAATTTAATCCAATTACATTTATATATATATATATATATATATATATATATATATATATATATCCTTTTTTAACTTTTTTTTTCTTTTTAAACTTCTCACATTCTACATTGTTTTTAAACTCTATCATTTTTACTATATTATCATCCTCATTTCCTCCCATATTTTATTTTATCTTTATAATCATTAGTCTTATTTTATAGAATACTTTATTTTCTATTTTTATTATTTATTTTCTTATAATTTAAAATAATTAATAATATTTTAACATTTATTTTTATGATTTTTATTATAATAAATCAAATTAAGTGATTCGATAATATCAATTAATTAAAATCATCACATAAAAAATTTAGATAACTACATTAAAATTATTAATTTTAAAAATACAAAATATATTTTAAAAAAACTCAAATTATAGATTGGAAATAAAATAGAATAAACAAATACTCTTTACTTTATATTATATTTAAGTGTGTGCACAAATGTTGACCTTCTTAACTATAAAAAACAGTAGAAAAATATAAAGATAATATTTGAAGAAGTGAATTTTGAAGATAAAGACTATTTTTATATAAATTTATTCTAGTATATCAATTAACAATAATAATACATAAAATTTAAAAACTAAACTAAAAAAAGTAAGTTTAAATTTATAAAAAAAATACATTACTAAAAGTATCATATTATATTAAGATTTTCATTATTTTCGTTAATTATAAATTTAAATGTGTTTCATAAATACAATTATAAATTTAAATGTATTTTCACTTTTGATCCATCATAAATAAAAATAAATAATCTCTTATAAATGTTATTTTATTTTCATCCATCATTAAATTTGTTTTATATACTGAATTTGATGACTTATAATATTATTAAAAATTTGGATGAAATAATTATGTATAATAATTTTTTAGTATATTATGTTTTTAAATTTGTTAATAGAGAAAAAGTTTCAGAATTCAAAATATTAAATACTTTTAAATATTAAAATTGACTTTATAAAAAATTAGGAAAAAAATAATTAATCCAAAAATATAATAATAATAATAATAATAAATATTATAAAAAAGAGTTCAAAAATGTATTATAATATTTTCAGTTTTAGTTTAATTATATTTTTAATTCTCAAAGTAGAAAAATATATTATAATTATTTTAATTTAATAAAATATAATTTAGATTTTTAATACTAAATTTAAAATATTAAATAATAATAAATTTAATTCTTTAAATTTAGTATTTAGAAACAAAAATTATAGTTTCTCTCTTTTAAAAAATTAAAATAAATATTTAAAAATAAAAATAAAAACTAGTATTATCTTAAATTTATTAAAAGTATAATTAAATCTCTATTTTTTTATGCAATTTTAGAAATTTTTTAATGAAAATCCAATATATAAAAACGTTAAAATTTTAAAAAGGCACAACCTTAATTTATATTAACTATTTTTAATATAAATTTAAATATATGTTGAATATAAATTTTAAAATGGCACAACCTTAACTATGTTGAATATAAATTTAAATATATTTTTTATTTATTTAAATATGACTTATTTTTAGTATTTATAAAATAGATTAATTTTTAATTTTTAATATTTTTTATTAATTATGTTAAAAATGAAAAATATTAATTAGTATACTTAAACTAAAAAATATTTTAACTAAAGATAAATATATTTTTATAAATAGTTTAATTAAATAATATATTTATTATCTAATATATATTGATATAATTATTTTTTTTGGTATATCAATTATATGACAACAACCATGATTAAGTAATTAATAATAATAAAGCAATAAATTTAAAAATTAGATTAAAAATAAAGTATTATAAAATAAAATTGTAATAATTTGATTAAAATTGTAATTTTTTAATTAATTAAGTTAATGAGGAATTAAAATGTGATAATTTGATGTGTTTAATTTTTTTAATATAAATTTTTAAAATATAATTTAATTTCAATTAAAATTTTCAATTGAAAAATAAATTAAAAAATATTTGTTATTAAACTTTTCTTAAACAATGTATTGAATAGTTAATATCACTCTAGTATTAATTTATTACAATTTAAATTTTTAATAAATTTGATTTATTTTTAATAATATTTTTATTTTAGTAATTTAAAATTAAAGTTAATCTTCATTTTGTTAATATTGAGACCAAAGTTTATTTTTAAAGTATATTTTAAAAATTAAATTATTTTTAAAAAATAAATTACTTTTAGAAAATAAATTGTAAAAAATATACTAAAACAATTAAAGTATATTTATAAAAAAATAAATTTAAATATAATAAAAAAATAATATTCATTAGCGACCGATTTCAATTCGGTCGCTATTTTCTCATTAGCGACCGATTTTAATTCGGTCACTATTTCAATATGTAATTTGGTCGCTAAATCAGTCGGTAAATGATTTTTTTATTTTAGTATGGAATAGCCACCGATTTAGCAACCGAAATTTTGCGACACAAACTATTGGTCGCTATTATTCGGTCGCTAAATAAAAAAGTGAAACCAAATCATATTTTGGTGGCTAAATCGGTCGCTAAATTACGACCGAATTAACTCGGTCGCTAAATCAGTCGCTAATTGTGACCGAATTAAAGTGGTCACTAAATTGGTTGCTAATTGCGACCGAATTAAATCGATCGCTAATTGCGACCAAAATTAAATCGGTCGCTAATTGCGACCGAAAAAATTTGGTCGCTAATTTCGATGGCTAAATGTGTTTTTTCTTGTAGTGCAAATTTTTTACACTACTTTTTATTTGATTGCAATTTTAATTCATTTATTTATAAATTATTTTCTATGGTTTTAATTATTCATGTCCAGTTCTTGTAGATATGTTAAAAAATTGTAAAAATATTCTTTTGACATCGAATTTTGTTAAAATATAAATGATTATTATATTATGTAGATTATAGTCATGATATAAAATAAGAGAAAATAAATCCTTTGCCTTTTAAATTTACATATTCTTATAATTAATTCAGGCAAATCAATGTCATGTACTACCTGTAACGTGAAAAGTGTGAAACAATTACAGATGAAAATAATAGAGTAAACTAAGTAATAGAATATAAATAGAGGAAATTTCTCATGAACGTTGAGTTCTAAATTAATAAATAGAGTAAAGAATGTAATAAATAAACGTTTTATACCGATAGTTATAGAATTTAAATCGAACACAATATTCACAGTTATTATGCAAAAATTACACTATGTTAATAAATGTTGTGTAATTTAATATATGATCTAAAATTTCAATTAACACTAGTACAAAATAGGCTTTTAACATCGGTTCTACAACCGATGTAGAAAGTCTAATATATTTTTATTTATTTTATTTATTTATAATCACTCTCTAATTACCCTATCTATTGATCTAGGGTCTCCTCTCCCTTTTATATTGGTTCTACAACC